TCAGTACCCCCAAGTCCCTCTCAGCAGGGCTGCTCTCGATCCTTTCATCCCCCAGCCTGTATTGATACCGGGGATTACCCCGACCCAGGTGTAGGACCTTGCACTTGGCCTTGTTGAACCTCATGAGGTTCACACAGGCCCAACTCTCCATCTTGTCCAGGTAAATTAGACAATCTCTCCTCATTAAATGCTTTTATGCTCTAAAAATCAGGAAAAAGACAGTGTTCCAAATTAAGAACTATGACAGAACATTGAAGAAGCATCCACAAAAACACCACACCTTTCAAATAAGGAAAAAGCTATGTGCAATCTGAAAAAACCACTTCAATTCCAGCTGGCAAAATACATTGCTGTCTCAATTAGCCATTAATCTTGCTGTGAATACAAAATTCTAATTATGCAGCTAAACATTAAGAAATTTAGTTACAGGGCATGCCATAATTTGAGACAACCATTTCATTCTGAGAAATTATGACTTACCTCATACTTCAGCTTGCGTTGAACAGTGCCATTATTAAGCTTCCCATTATCCTAAGAACAAAAAAGGTACACGTGATTGTTACAAGGATGCCTTTCCTGTATAAGTTCATTTAAAAGTATTTATAGGAAGAGACGTTATTTTGATTATCCAAAAATAACTATTTTCTTATTGGTATTTCTTAAACCATTGGCTTAGAAGTCAACAAACCCAGCCTCTGGGTAAACTAGATCACCAGTTTTTAAATGACTATTTGTTTGCAAGTATAAACAACTACTGCTCTGGGTGGAATTTTATCAATGTCTTTTACAGACATAAAATGAAGATTTTTTTTATCTGCAAGCTTCCTATTGCCATTTACACACTCTTCCCTGAAAACAAATCGAGTACAATATAAAACAGCCACTGTGAAAAAAAGATAAGCAAAATCTAAAATGATATCCCTGATATACTGTTTACTTTTTTCGGAATTAAGAAAACATAGGAAAACATGAAAATTATTGAACAACAAAACTAAACCAGGGGTTATACATCATGCACTGAAGTTCAGCATTTCCTACGCATCTCTGCTCACCTTTAAACTTTCTGTAGACCAGGACAGGCTAACATCATTATCCTCAGCTTTATGATGAATATTCTGGAGCCTTCTCTGCACTTCTTGTTCAATAAAGGCACTTATCCTTCAAGATATGGAAAAGTTTTTAAAAAAATATACTCTTAGATAAAAATCAAGACGGGCTAAAGGGCTCTTTGAAACACTTATGGACACTAAGTACTGTACAACTCTTACTTAGCAGACTTCATGTTAGACCAGTTTTATCCTCTTTAAGGAACATGGACTTTTGAGCAAGTGTTCATTTAACAGGCAAAGGTGAACAATTTGTTATCACAACTAGACAACTTAATGGACCACAGGTTAAGCCACTGCTATGCATACAGCTCTACATACAAGTGGCACTGAGGATAAGAGATGAAGAAGAAACAGAAGGCTCGGGTTGCATCTTAAATTTACTTAATGGTTTTGCAATATCAGCAACTCGGGCTAACAAAGGTTTGGTTTTCAAACACAAGGAATATTCTTAAGAGTTGATACTAACAACTGCATGTATAAGTGTAAAAAGGACAGAGAGGAAACAGATTTTTAAAGGCTTAAAAAAGCCTTAAGACAATTTCATTTACTTCATTGCTTTAAGTGTATACAAAGTAATACCATATAGACAAGTAACTGGAACCACAAAAATAATTTAAGTATATTTACGCCTACAATTTCACAAAACTCCATTCTAAAACAAACTGCACAGGAGCAACAGATTACCCTGGTGGTTATTTACAGTAAAATACAGCAAATTGATCTTATTTCCAGACTAGTCTTTAAGTACAATTACAGTATTTAATTAGAATCCAACTATGGCAGAATGAGCTTTCAAAATATTTCTGTTCTATAGCTATGGTTTGCATTCCTATCAAAGTACTGCAGAAATGCAGGTTACCTACCTATCATCAACTAGTGGAGCAGTGGGTGGCTGTGGCTTTGCTGGGCTGGTAGGGGAAGTGGTATGGGAGAGTCTCTCTTCTAATGTTCCATGATTTCCTTTCTGACCACCATCACCCTTGTATATTTTTTGCTTCAGCTGCTGAATTTCCTGATCCAGGCTATAAATAAAACGTAACTTGTTTTGTCTGTTTTAGAGTACCATTGATTCCCATCATTCTTATAAGTAGCACTGTACTTGCATACACATATGTAACATCATAGGTATTAAAATTTATGAAGATACAAAAATCCTAATTGTTCTTTAAGTATATTTAGATATGAAAATAGAGACAGCTCAAAACCACATTACAACAGCAGTATTAAGTTAAATAAAACAACTTCAGTAACTTCCAATGCCAAAGTTATCTAACTCAGCACATAAATATTAATTCATGAGACTTAGCCTATCTATTAGAGCACCTGAACAAACTTTTGTCATTACAGAACTCTATCAATGACCTCAGATATTAGCTTCAAATCTGAATTAAATGAATAAAAATGGGGTGGGAAAAATTAAAAACTCAAAATACAGCACCAATCCAAAAAGAACAAAGACAACCTAAAACAATGATGTGGCAAAACATACAAGAAAATCTTTAAATTATGTACTATACACAAAAATCTTATTTCCCAGTTATTCCTTCTGTCTGTATATGTATTTTTGAAAATTTGCTTACAAAATATCTAGCACACACCTAACAAATCATCTTTATAAATGGAAACCCCCCACTTTCTTTAACAAATAAATTTCATACCAACCAGATTTATGTACAGAATAGAACACATAAACTGAATACCGTATTTTTGACTGAAAATGCCTGAGGCACCTAGTATAAAATAAGAAGCACTTATTGCAATATTTATTACTTGGTCAAATTAAACTATAACAAAGTAATCTGCAGAACACATTTTTCACTTGTAATGTAGCTGAGATTAGATTAGTAACACAGTAATCATCTTTCTCATTTCCATTACAACTGTTGTCCCTAAAAGCAGTTGTTTTTCTGGAGGTTACTTGAAAATTAAAGAATAAAAGAAAAGAAGTTCCTGCAAAAGAAGGGGAAACTATACAAAGTTAGGATTCTACCACTTATTCTACAATTGCATATATCTAAATTGAAGTACAATGCTACAACTACTTTATTACATCCTGGAGGTTAAAAGAGAAAACTAAATAGATGACAAATGCTGAGGATTAGGCTGGAGTAAACCAGGCTGAATTATGACTGCATTTTTAGAGTACTTTTCACAGCACTGCCAGAAGCCATCTGTTTCTTTGATATTACCAGCAAAACAATCTTCCATCCTGAGGCAAAGCATGGGAGATGGCTGATGGACACCGGAAAGTGTTTGCATTTATGGAAAGCCAATTTAACCACAAAGATCAGAATTATATTAAAGGAACACAGCTTATATATTGATTTGTAAACGTCCTGCTATCAAAAGATATCACTTCCAATAGCTATAAGTTTATCCAGCTGTGTGATGCATCCACCAGTAAGTACACTAAACTGCACCTTGCCACTTGTGAGTGATACATCCCATTGTCTCAAAGACGACTGTAAAGATGCTTTGTGTTCATTCTATTGCCACAAACCTCTGCCAGTAAAGACAGAACATGTATGCATTATTCTAGGATAAGTTAAATTCAAATTATCATTTTTGGAGCCATCCCTGTGGGTGAAAGAATTTGAGCTAACATATTATTTAAACTGGAAAAATAATTTTATCCAGTTATGATGGACTTATGCTCATAGAGCATTTCAAACGAATACTGCATTTAAACATTTTTCAGATTGTTAACACTGATCTGAACCACAGCACATCATCGTGTAATGGTATCTAGCTAAACAATAAGAAACATGTACAATTCATATGCTTACTATAGCACCCAAGACATTGCGTATTGTGAAGCATAAACTCCAACACAAGAGCAATGAGTAGCCTGAAACATTTAACACACTATCACATATCTTCTTCTACTTCAACATTCATAAAAACACTCTGAATTGTTCAGGCCCCTGGGCAACTCACTGAAATTCAGACTTCAAAGTTTTATTTAGTTTGTGCAAGAGGAATTCTAAGTAAACAAGTAAAAAAATCAAGTAAAAAAAGGAGACCTTTCCATTTCCTTGGTATCTTTTCGAAACCTCAGTCTTTCAGCTGACAACACATTTTTTCACTTATCACATAACCCAGCAATCTCTTTAGGGCTAAGTAAGCTGTCTATTTTTGTGGAACCTCCAGTTGCCTTTAGTCAAGCGAGATGCTTAGTGTAGAAAATGAGATTTTATGTTCAAGACAATCATGGAAAATAATATCTATAACAAAATTATAAATCAGTATTGAAAATGTTTAATTAAAATCCACACAATGTGGCTCTAAATGTTGAAAAAGTGACCTCTAAATAAGGCATAGAAAAGAACTATTCTCTTCTGGTAATGGTTTAAAAGGAAAAAGATACAGAAGAGCTCTTCAATTTGGCTATAGGCATGTTTCTTTTTTTAGGTGGTTTTTCTAATGAAGCATCTGTTTGAAGGGCTTACGAAAGAAGAGTCAGATAGTGGAATACTAAAAACGAAATGACAAATGCTACCTCAGGAAAACACACGTTTCTCTAATAATGAAAAGTTTTAAAACTCTAGTATTAGGAAATCACACAATACATTTTCATATGGCAATTCTGCCATTTTCCATTCTGCACGGATTAAATGCATTAATCCCAGTGGATTTTTACTCAGGCCAAAACCAAAATATTTCTTCCTCTTCCTCCACAAAGGAAGACTGTTCCTTACCTGAACCATTTTTCTCTGAGCCTCCCATACTTAGCCTGAATGCTAGGCTACAGTACCAGGTATCATGTTTATAACTGATTACATTGCTTCTGTACCTAAAAGAGTTTGTCATCAGATATGGCTGTATTAAAGCCTCTGTATACTTTGAAACAAGCTTAAAAACCACTACGAAATTTTACATGGATATTTGGCTAATCTATTTTATTAAGCCCTGAAACCAATAATAAAAAATTAAACATTACACCTGTTTACTTTGAATACTTTTGAGTGTTCCACACATCATCAGTTGAGACACACAGTTGGCAGTGTACTGTAATTATCAGTCTCCAAATCTTGAACAAACATCTAGCTTGTTATTGATAAAGAAACAAAATGTTATACATTAACATTTTAAGAGAAAAAAAGTTGTTAGGTGGTACATGTTTTTGTAAGGGCAGAACATAAAGTTGGCTGAGCTTTCTAAATAGGTAAAACAATTTATTTAAGTACTGTGATGGCCACTACAAATACGATACTGCTGAGGATGGGATAAGTATTCGAACACAACAAGAATTAATGAGCAAGCAAGAATCCTTTAAAAAGCAATACAGAGTCTCAATTCCGGGTAAACTACTTGAAACTCATTAAGAAACTCCAACACTGGGACACAAAACAAGTCACTCTCAACATCTAAAGTATAAAATGATTCAACTTTTGTGGATAGGTTCTAACAAATAGAAGCTACCACAACACTTACCGTTCCCGGTCTTGTTCAAGGGCTTTCTGCTCAGCTTCTAGACTAGCCTGCAGACCTGCTTGCTCGCTGCAGCTGTTATTCAAGTTAGCAAGTTTCTGTTTCTGCTCTTCAATTTCAAAGTCTATCGTCGAACGACGCTGCAAAGCAGAGTGCCTCCTTTCTAACTTAGCAACAGCTTGCTCCAGTGCCTCTCTCTGCTGTTTTTCCCTTGATTCAAGGATTTCTTTTTCCTTTTTCCGAACCTTTTCTTCCTGACGAGCTACATTGGCTGTGAATTCAAAGGTTTCTTGAAGCTGCTGCAGCTGATTTGTGCTAGCTCTATACTGGGCAAGCTGCTCTTCTTTTTCTTCTATTTCTTTCTCTATTTGATAGAGAGTATTATCTAACCCTAACAAGCCCCTGTCAAGGACTTCAGAAGCTCTTTGTTTTTCTTCCAGCAGAGCTGGCAAATGATTACTTTTCAGGTACTCAAGCTGGCGTACTTTAGATTGGAGCCTGTACTCCACTGGCTTTATCTGGTCAACTTCTTCAGCCTTTAGTACAGCATCCACAAAGTTTTCATCATCTCTCTTGAGATTTAAATGTTCTTCACACGCAAATTTTAAGTGTTCCAAAGCTCTTTTTTCATCTGCTATTTCCTTTTCTAGGTGATCCATTTGTTGAACTAAATCTTTTTCCAAAATAGTCACCTGCTCCAGTTGTTTTCTTTTAAACTCTACAAAATCATGCTGTGCTTTTTCTAACTCTTCACAGTTTTCATCACCTTCAGATCGGGCTTCCTTGACTTTCAAAAGAGATTCTCTAATATCTTCAAGATCTCTTTTCTCTTCTTCAACTCTTTGTACATCCCCTCGCTTCAGGAGCTCTATCATGACCTGTTTCTCTCGAAGCTGTTCTTCTAGATGAGAAACCAGTATCACCTGCTCCCTTTCTTGTTCTTCAAGTCTCTTTTTTTCTGATTCCAACTTAATATACTGTTCATCTTTTTCCTTTTTAAGTTTTTCTAGTTCACGGAAAATCTGCATTTTCTCTGCTTTTTCATTATGATTAAGTTCTTGTAATCGCTGCAACTCCTCTTTGACTCGGGCAAAAATTTCTTCCTGCTGCTTTTTTTTTTGAAGCTCTATCTCCTGTTGTTCCCGTAGCCTCTCTTCTTCAAATTTTTCTTTTTCAGCCAGCAAATCTTTCAACCTGCTCTCAATGTGAACACTTCTCCGTTTCAGACTCTCTTCCTGTTTTCGAATTTGCAGCTGTACTATCTCTGTCTCTTTGCGCTGTGACTCTACTTCTCGCTGCATTCTAACAAGTTCTGCTTTGTCAGATCTTTGTTTTTCTTCCATCTCTTCTATTTGTTTCCTATAGTAAAACATTTACATGCAATATTTCAAACTTTTTTTTCCCCAAGAGACAACATCTCCCTTAAGAAATTAAAAAGGTTTGGACAAGGATTTTGCAGTATATGTAACAGTTTCTTTTTTAATAGTTTTGTTTTGCCACAGGTTAACATCTTACATTGCTTGGAAGTGACTCAATGTGACACAAATGGTAAAGAGATTCACATAGTCTACTTCAACACAAAAAGCTGTGGATACATGAAGTTATGGAAGCCATGTTATATAGTACTTATGTTAATAGAAAATCAGACTGTATTAATTCTGTCAAATCAAATAAATATACTGATAGAACACATCCATGCACACAGTGAAGTGTAAATATATATTTTTTTTTTACATATACGTACATTCTCATATACACTAACTTGTATAAAAGGACTTGATTAGAAATTTGCCTCACCAAATTCAAGCCAACAGATGAATTAAAAAAATGTCTTCTCTTACGTGAACCCAACTGAATTATTGACAAACAGGATTATAAGATTAGGCATAGATGTATTTGAGAGAGAAATTACTTTAAGACACATTGTTATGTCCTGTGCAATCTTTCTTTTAAAGGTTCTAGTGGATTCTAAATGAAGACAAAAGGTTACAAGTCAGACTTCAAGGTTACCATTATCCCCATAATACAATCACCTGAATACATGTAGAGACCACCTGCAAGTCAGTTGGTTATTTTGTGAGAAGTTGAAGTCAGAGAAATTAAAGCGCAAGCAAAGCAACTTCAGCATAATCTGATTTCAAATCTTATCAACATATAAATATCAGTGATTCTGTTGCATCATTTTCTGAGTAACATCTTCTAATGCTTCAGAGGTTCAGGGTCTTCCTGAGTTTACTTAACTTAGTTCAACTATATAAACAGCTCTTTCAAAATGGAGCAAGCAGTCTAAAGCAAAGATGGCAGAAAGTGTCTTTCAGGTTATGAATCTAACCAACACTGGGACCTGCAACAAGGCAAAAGCTACTACTTCTAAAATCTTTGCAGGTATGATGAGCTAGAACAGTCAGCTCAGTTTGCCAGCTGACAACACCACTTTGTTTTGTACTTCAGACAGATTTCAAAATAATGTTTTGATAAGCAAGACTGATATCCCCATACCATCACTACAGTTTTATTTAAGAGAAAGAGTTTATAATGTGAGTTTCTCCAATCAAGATTCAATACAAAGGCAAGAAAACCATAAAAAAAGAACTGAATAAAGAATGTAATTTGCCATCTTTTAAAATAATACCATGAAAATTAAGAGCAAAAGTAATATATTACATTTGTATAATCTACCCTCCTCGTACCTTTCTGTTTAGTATTTTCTTTGCTAAAGATCCCAGTTAACTATAATTCAGCTTGTATATCTGTTACCAATCAATAAGAATGAACAGTTCAAGAAAAAACCCGAAATCTTCATAGCAGGCAAAACAAAGTAAAATTATTTATATCAGGATCCTCTGCTTGCTGAGCAACACCATGATTCCAAACTAACGATTTAAATGAGTCTACTACATGTATATGTATACACACACATACACATAAAGACCAGAGAATAATGTTACCTTTTACTTTCTAATTTTTCAAGTTCCTCTCGTTGTTGTCTCTCAAATTCTAGCCTGATGCAAACAAAAAAAAAAAAAAAACACCACACAGTAAAAAAGTTATTATTTCCTGAATATCACAAAAAATAGGAAGACATAATGCAACTCAAGTGTCTTTTTAGAAGATTATAACAATGGTACAAATAAAAAGTTTTATAAAACTATTCTCTACAATAACAGAAATGATTTCCTTCATCAGAGTTACAAATTAGATATCAAACTGTCTGACATGAAGACGAACAGAAAGGTAAATGCATTGGGGGTGGGAGGAGCTATTTAAAAAGTAAAGTTAAACAAGACAGATAAATCATTAACACAGCCTCTTCAAGTCAACTACATGTGGACACAGAAATCAATACATAGAAACTGAATTTCTCTACCTTAGACAGATCGGTCCTTTTACAGGGAAAAGACTGCCATGCGAGGCAGGGGGAAACAGAGGATCAATTAAGAAAGGAATTGATAGAAAAAGATATATTAGCGGTACAGAACATTTTAAAGTCAACAACAGTTTGTTTTACTAGAGGTTAAATTGGTTAGATTCATAGAACATTCATATTACTATTCAAAAGTAAAATTTAAATAATTGTTCTTTCTAAACATGTTTTTCAAATGCCAATGATAGTTAACCAATGCTCATCATCGTGCAGTTTATTCATTTGGCCACTTCTGAAAAAAGAGATATGAAACTATGCTATGGTATGCTTGTAATTGTTCTTCCTTTCTCTCCCAAGGAAACAAAAAAAAAAAACCAAAAAACCCAAAAAACCCACCCACACCCAACATTACTATGATGTAACAAATGCAACTGAAAAAAATCTCAAACTCCTGGAAACATTCAAGCACAGAACAAAACTCAAACTCGTTTTTCTAAAATATTTTGAGTATTTAGTTCAATAAGGTTCTGAATAATTATGGGCGAATATGTTATGTCGTTTTTAATATCAGCTCTTTAATTTACAGTTCTATGGGACTTCTTTTAATTCCCTTTGAAAGTCCTATGTTTTTTAAGGAAGTTCTTCAAAATAAAGTTTTTATAGGCTTTTTTAAAGCATAAAGAACCTATATATGGACTGAAATATTCAACCAAATACACAAACACACAGTTATTTCAGGCCTGCTACAGCTTAATGAGTTTGCAGGTTAGTGAGATAGCTCACAAACACTGAAAAAACGCAAGACTGCACAACCAGTTAACTTCAAGTATGTGAGGAACTGCAGTTTAATATGTCACAACCACAATTATATAAACAGTTTTTTTAAAAATACAGTACATTTAATATTTCTTTCTGAAATCATACAAATGCCTATGACAAAAAGGAATTGCCCTTGGAAATGTGCAAAAAAAAAAAACCTCAACAATAATCTAATGTTTTTCAAGTAGTTTAAATGAACTTTGATTCCTACAGGCTCAACAAGCATCTTCCTAACTGCTGCAATACTGGAGGAAGACAAGTTTAACAAATTCCACTTTTCCCCATTTCTCACAAATTCATTTTAAAAAATACCTTCTACAATGCCTAAGAGATTAGCAAATGTAGACTTTAATACAGAACTCCAGACATCTGGAGCATTCATGCTAATGTCTTACCAAGACCCCTTCACATTTCCATTAAGACTATGTCTATAATGGGCACTATCTCAACATTAAAGCACAACAAAAGATGACAATAATTTAGTATTTTTAATTTTATCATAATTTCTGTAGCAGCAATGCAAAATCCATTAAGCTATGAAAAGAGAACAAAAAGCATTTTCAAAGCATCTTCAGCAATCAAAAGATTAATTTAATGGTTACCATGTATTTCCCCCCATCACCACCTTTTTTTTAAGCTATACCTCAAAAGCCCTTGTTTTGGCTATGGTCTACCTCTGGAATTCACAGCTGTTAGTTATCACTTCTTACCTTATGGCTTGGCTGACAAATGCCACTACATTCATCATTACTACAGGCCAAAATAATATAGACCCTGAGGAATACAGCTTTGGTCCGTGGAAATGCAGATGTCCATTGGGCACTGTCAGATGTAGACCATCTTTGCTTGGACAGCTGGCAAAGACAACTTACAAGTATTCCCATGCTTGTTAAGCCATAAAGAAGTAAAACATTTCAGGATCAGCTAACAACATGCAAAATCCAGAGCAAAATCTTTGGATATTTTGACTGTCCTATAAAACACATAATTTGCCAAACATTTTATACACATAAAAATGGTAACTAGCTTTTGCTTGAGATCTGATACAAGGAAAATGAGCCATTATAGCAAATCAGTCTAATTAAAAAAAAAAAAAAACAGGTTAGTGGTAAAAACTCTGTGATTTTCTCTTTGATGAAGTGTCCCTAATACCTTTAACAGTGGTGTCACGTCAATCAGTTTTGCCTTACACTGAAATGAAGGTGGTGGTGCTCAAAAGGTTATTCAGGTAGGAGGAAGGAACTATGCAGAAGTGGTTCTTTTTTCAGTGAAAACAGCGATTGCCCAAAGACAAATATGGATCATCATCAACTCATCAATCATCAGCTTCCAAACACTACATCTAGCTGTTTTAAAAATGCAAATTTAATGCATTTTAGAAAAGTAAAGAATACTCCTGTGAACAGACAGGTTAACTCAGCCTGGTGTTTTGCTGCTACGTAGATTCAGTGGTGCCTACAAAGGTCTAAGCTCCACTGAAGGCTCTCCTACTATGGGGTTATTCACAGTGCCTCTACTCTCTATCAACACTACAGCCTTTATTTCTGCAGGAGAAATAACGATGCCTGTCTTCCTTAGCTGGCTGCCAATTTTCTCAATATATTTAGGAATTCACCACTTTTGAGACCATTACCTCAGCAGTATTTGCTTCAAACTAGCTATGAGTTCAAAGTTATTTCAGGACAGGAGAGAATCTTTTCCACATAACTTCTACTCCCCTTATTATTGTGAGCACTACTGTGAGTAGAAAAAAAACATTAGCTTGAAATTAAAAAGAAAGAAATAAGATATTAACAACTAGAATCCACTCATCCTTCTCTTGTAGATCTACCTCAAAGGAACTTCATCCAATCAGTGCTGCATTAAATAGTCACCATTTTCCTGGAAAACATGGCATATCTAGTGATAAGAGCAGTGTAGATAAGCTGCAGAGAAAGGAATTCAGTTCTGCTAGCACAGTACTACAACAGCTTCATTGACACAGCACAGAAGTGCTATCTGGTACTACATCTATTAGGAAGGACTGAGTAGTGGCAGGACTACAAAGATGTTACAATGCCACTCAGGAGCCCAATTTCTGAGGTTAATTTTACAAAAACAAAACAAAAACCCCCACCCTAAATCCATGACGACCAAGGTTTCTCATGAGTGGTTTTAGAGCTACAGTAAAATGTAACTTACAAAAGGCCCAACAATGAAATCTTCAGCACAAATCTGTGTGCAAAACTATTTTATCCAAAGCTTCTTATCTGAAGCAGTGCTGCATGGCACTAGGTTAAAGACAACGACTGGGAACATGCAGATCAAAGAATTCTGCATGTTAAGCCAAAATTTTATGCAACTATCTCCACATATGGGAAATCAACCACCAGACAAAATACACACACAAAGACCACCCATCTGAAAGCACAATTAAAGATAACAATGATTTTCACATGGGAAAGATACGGATATATTAAGCAAGTTCCATCATTTATCTGCTTTCACAGCAACTGAAGGTAATACCCCCACAGGCTCTTCTCCCGTTGATTGCTAAAGATGCTAAACCTTAGAAGCTATTTATGGCAACCTACAGAAGCTGCAAATTTAGCTGCCAGCCTTTAGTTTATCAGTGCTGAAACTAGAAGAAAAGGTGGTCCTGAAAGTGCTAAATTAACAATATACAGAATGTTCGTCAGCTACAAAAGTCACACCAAAAAAAAAAACCAAAATCACCACAACAAAAAAACAGAGGGCCAGCTACTGAATCTAGATCTACACTGCCGTTGGGCAGTACACCATTATGTCACAAGAAACAGACACTACAACCTATTGTAATAAAGGGTCATACCAAAGGACCATGTCCTACATTGTTCCTGGTGGGGGGCGGAAGTCCAAGCCAAATTTAGCATAGAATATTCTTTTCCATCTGTACTTTTCCAGGAAGCAAGATGCTCGCCCCCACCTAACATCTCGGGCACGATTACCCTGCGTTTGACACCCAGAAATCATAGAATCATTAAGGTTGGAGAAGACCTCTAAGATCATCAAGTCCAATTGTCAACCCAACACCACCATGTCCCAAAGTGTCTCATTGACACGTTTTTTGAACACCTCCAGAGATGGTGACTCCACCACCTCCCTGGGCAGCCTGTTCCAATGTCTGACCACTCTTTCAGGAAAGAAATTTTTCCTAATATCCAGTGTAAACCTCCCCTGACACAACTTGAGGCCATTGTCTCTCATCCTATCACTAGTTAGTTGGGAGAAGAGACCAACATCCGCCTCACTACACTGTCCTTTCAGGTAGCTTTAGAGAGCAATAAGCTCTTCCCTCAGCCTCCTCTTCTCCAGACTAAACAGCCCCAGCTTCCTCAGCCACTCCTCATAAGACTTGTTCTCTAGACCCCTCACCAGCCTCATTGCTCTTCTCTGGACATGCTCCAGCAACTCAATGTGCTTCTTGTAGTGAGGGGCCCAAAACTGAACACAGTACTTGAGGTGTGGCCTCACCAGTGCCAAGAACAGGGACACAATCACTTCTCTACTCTTGCTGACCACACTAATTCTGAAACAAGCCAGGATGCTGTTGGCCTTCCTGGCCACGTGGGCACACTGCTGGCTCATGTTCAGCCAGCTGTCAACCAGCACCCCAAGGTCCTTTTCCACCAGGCAGCTTTCCAGCCACTCCTCCCCAAGCCTGTGGCGTTGCATGGGGCTGTCTGTTGTGACCCAAGTGCAGGACCCGGCATTTGGCCTTGTTAAACCTCATACAATTGACCTCAGCCCATTGATCCATCCTGTCCAGATCCCTCTGCAGAGCCTTCCTACCCTCATGCAGATCGACACTCCCACCCAACTTGGTGTCATCTGCAAGCTTACTGAGGGAGCACTCAATCCCTTCATCCAGATCATTGATAAAGGTATTAAACAAGACTAGCCCCAAAACTGAACCCTGGGGAACACCACTCGTGACCAGCCACCTGCTGGATTTAACTTCATTCACCACCACTCTCTGTGCTTGATGCATCCATAAAGATGCATCAATTATGGAAGAAGTTTTCTTCTACTGATTTGTAAGACCAGGGCTCAGTTAAACTGCAGCTCAAACTTCAGAGCCTACCTTCTCTTTGCAGCAGTCATAAAAGCAGTGAAAACAGTCATATCTGAGGGGGTTTAAGGGTTTTTGTTTGGATTAGGGTTTTTTGGTTGGTTGATTTTTTTTTTTAAATCACTAATCTATTAGGACACACTGCATCCTCTGCACTGCATGTGCAATGTGTATTATTAGGTATGGCATCTATTGTTTTAAACATAGCTAAAGTATCTAACAATATGGCTTAGAGATTACATTATAAATATGCAAACATGAGCTTCCTTGCTTAGAAACACATATGTACATAACAGCGACTATGAACAACCTCAGATAGGTTTTATTGCTCACAAACAAGTGACGGTCGTGCAGACCTGCATTCCTCCTGTAATGTGAGCCATAAGCATAATCCTGTCTTGTGTTTACAAATTAAGCAGAACCAAATATATATTCCTGCAAGCCAGTTCACAAAGATTATTTGAATGCAGACTAGCAGGAGAATATCAATAGTTAACCCTTGGCTCATAGTTTATAGTCTAATAAAAAACAGGCATGAAAGTGTTCAGGAATATGAAGATTATTGCATCTAATCTTATCCTCAATTTCAACAGCAACAGCACTTTCACAATCACATGCAAGAAAGGAAAATAAAAATTACAAGAAGAGTTACATGGTAGTGCTTCTACAAGTTGCTGCATATATTGATAACTGTCCTATTCTATGCTGACTGCGAAGTCAAGGCCAGTACTGTGCAGTGTAATGCAATTATTCATAACAGTACCCTAATAGAGTAACGTTATTAGTCTGGGAAATGCCCATGGTAGCTGATCAATAACCAGAGGTAACAAAAAACAGCAAGGAACTTTCCCCAGCCCTCAGAAAATATAGTACCAGGAACTGTCAGTATAAGTTTTTAGGTCAAACTATCTGAAAAGCTAAAGAAATCGAAAACTATACCGACACGTCTTTGACCTTCTCTTTCACCTCTGAAAAAAGATGTAATTTATGAGCAACTTGCTCACTATCTTGCAAACTCTGTAGGTAGTTCAGCAGTAAAAGAGGGATGGCCACACCTGAAGCAGTGTTATTACACATATTCACCGTAAGACATGGTTTAAACTGAAGTTATTATTACCTGTCTTTATTATTATTATTACCTGTCTATTACCAAATCTTCCCAAGTTGAAAGGGATAAAGAGCAAGCCCACAGTAAAACTCAAGAATAAAGCTGCACTATCCAAGTCTGTAATTCAATTTATGGCAAATTTTTCAAAAGCACATAGGTGGTTAAAGTGCCTCATCTCACACCCAATTCAAAACACAGATACTAGCCATTAAAAAAAAAAAATATATAACAAAACACCATCAATCCTCTGTATGTCACTTTAGAAAACACTGGTAAAAACATTTCAAAAAGCTTCTCTACAATAAGCGGTCTATGCCATTCTAACTGTATAATAAAACTGTTTTCCACATCCAAACTTGGCCACCTACTAGGAGGTACATAGGTGAGAGCAAAGCACATTCATCTCCCAGCCTTTATATGCTTGTATTAGTATTATACAAACTCAAGAAATCTTAGTTTTCAGTTTATAATGCATTTTTCTCAGGAAAAAGTCGTTAACTTGTAATTCTAAAGAAAGTATAAACAAATAATATGCCTTGGCATTATTGTCGTGAACTGCCTTGGTTAGAATGCAGATGCTGTCTCCTGTTGGTACTACAACTTTCTTTGTGTTAGATCTACCAGTGCGGCTGTTCACTGGTGCAGTTACACTTCTTGCATTTGAGTAGAGAAATCCTAGGTAAAAGCAAGTTTTCATAGAATCATAGGGTGGAAAAGACCTCTAAGACCATCAAGTCCAACCATCCACCCAACACCACCATTCCTACTAAACCATATCCTGAAGCGTCACATCTACACGTTTTTCAAACACCTCTAGGGATGGTGACTCAACCATCTCCCTGGGCAGCCTATTTCAATGTCTGACCACTACTTTTAAGTAGGATAGAAAGCTCCTCTGTGTCCCTTCACCCCATTTTCTAGCATGGACTAGTTCAAATAACATTTCTGAAAAGTTCTGGCTTCATTCAGAAGCCCATTATTTAACAAGCCTAACCCGTGAACAAAATATTTTCTGTTACTGCCATTTGGAACATTCAAACCACTAAAATGAAGAATGGTTGAAGACTGAAGAATGGTTGAACAATTTGAACAACTGCTCTTAGAATATACTCACCCTGGATTATAAAGCATAACTGCTGACAGGTTCTCACAAGATTTTGAAAGATCTGTCATAGACAAGCTGAAGGAAGACAGCAGTCCACTCTAACAACAGACCATAAATAAACGTATTAGACAAACACTGATATTCTTACAAATTCTTACTTCATTTCACTTGATGAAATGTTAACTAGAGCATGTGAAGCAAATCAAAAAAACAGTATTCTACAACAATCAAGGTATGTCTATACTAGCAAGAAAATTGTGAAAAGGTTTAAATTCACCAAACATTGATTTAATCTCACCTTTCTTTTCTCCCTTAACTTAGCAGCTTCTTTGGGGTGATTAAAGCGAAACATATTAGTTCTTCCAAGTAATATAACAGCACCTGATGAGAAAAACACACATCATTCACTGACAACATACTGTACCTGCAAATGCCAAGTAATTTTTCAAACACGCAATGTGTAAACAAAGACTTCCATTAAGCAAGAACAAAATGAAAATGCATTTTGACAATTCAAGTGTATAACAATGCATCATCACAGCTACGTTAACTGATGTATACAGTTTATTCCTTCCTCTTCCTACCTAAAAAAAAAAACAAAACAAAAAACCCACCACACACACATATTCATGTACAAGAAAGACAATCACGTTCATGTAGTTCAGTTAAACAATAAATATAGGTAGAGGAAGCAGTTGTCCTATACATCCTTCAACAGTACTACTTTAGATGCCACCAGTAGGTACTAGATACAAGGGGAATGTCCATAATTGTGACTAAGAAGGAACTCATCCATCCGCTACTGATTGCAGTCACGTTTGAATCCACCTACACTGAAAGTTCCAGATTCCCCTAACTTGTATTCTCACTTACCTTTTACTTCTCTGTGTGGATCAACACTGAAGTTTATCATCACTCAAAGTGGGATTATTACACTTTCATACCCAATACCTATTATCTGAGGGAAGAACCTAGAATAATTCATATGCTCAATGCACATCCATTATTGTATTTAATCAGTTAAGGTACAGGTCACAAATAATGACATTCTGGGCAATTCTTATATTTTAAATGGCATTAAGATTAATACTTTCCTACTAAGAAGTACATTGTCAGTGATGCCTCACTACTGTCGTAACATGGAAGTCAAGTTCCTGCACATGGGTTTGGGTAATCCCAAACACAAGTACAGGCTGAGCAGAGAGTGGTTCGAGAGCAGCCCTAAGGAGAAGGACTTGGGGGTACTGGTGGATGAGAAGCTCAACATGAGTCAGCAATGTGCACTTGCAGCCCAGAAAGCCAACCGTATCCTGGGCCGCATCAAGAGAAGCATGGCCAGCAGGTTGAGGGAGGTGATTCTGCCCCTTTACTCCACTCTCGTGAGACCCCACCTGGGGTACTGCATCCAGCTCTGGGGCCTCCAACATAAGAAGGACATGGATGTGTTGGAGCGGGTCTAGAGGAGCACCACAAAGGTGATCAGAGGGCTGGAGTACCTCTCCTATGAGGACAGGCTGAGAGAGTTGGGGCTGTTCAGCCTGGAGAACAGAAGGCTCCGGGGTGAGCTTACAGCAGCCTTCCAGTACCTGAAGGGGGCCTACAGGAAGGATGGAGAGGGACTTTTCATAAGCGTGTGTAGTGATAGGACAAGGGGGAATGGCTCTAAACTAAAAGAGGGCAGATTTAGATTAGATATCAGGAAGAAATTCTTCACCATGAGGGTGGTGAAACACTGGCACAGGTTGCCCAGAGAAGCTGTGGCCGCCCCCTCCCTGGAAGTGTTCAAGGCCAGGTTGGACGGAGCTCTGAGCAACGTGGTCTAGTGGAAGATGTCTCTGCTCATGGCAGGGGGGCTGGAACTAGATGATCTTTAAGGTCCCTTCCAACCCTTACCACTCTATGATTCCAAGTTCACCACCACAGAATTAAGCATTTATCTCTCAGTATGAGGTATTTTTAACAAGGACTCCATTACATCCACAGCATGAAAAAACTGCACTTAGACTGTTAACTACAAACAAATTTTTACCATCTGAAAATGAAATGCTGTCCTTAATAAGAATTGCTCCTCTTAAAAACTAGCTTATTTAGCAATATCTACCCAATTAAGGTCATCCAGTCCTGGCAAATGAAGAGCAAAAGCACTGTAGTCATGACATCACTTCGTGCTGTCTACACAACACCTCAATTTTGGACCACATGAACAGTTTATCTCAATTTAATCTGAAAATTATCTTTCATAAATCTGCACATAGGTTTGTACTGCGAAGTCATTTTGATACCACCTCTTATTCATATGACGACTTTTCCTTTGAGAAGTGTGCTGGGCACACTTTTTATGTCAGCATATTCGAAGGGATCCCTGATGGTCACGACTGCTGTAGTGAAAGGGCTAAACTGTTTTAGTCTACCACTGCTTCACAAGCTTACAGTTGTCCCAAAGATTTATCTGTTCCACTCTCACTGACTGCCTGGAAGGGGATTTTGTGACAATGAGGATTTCTATGAAATTCCTTCAGTTACTTTCAAATGAAGATAAAAATAATTAATTGTAAACATTTTGACCACTTTACTAGGTGGAAGCAACTTAAATAACTAAAATTTCATAATGAATACAGCTAGAGATATGTGTTCCCAGCTTCATTAATTTAAAAGAAATCAGGAGAGGCTTAACAGCAAGCACATGACAGTCAGACCCAGATGACAGATCATATGAACAACTCCTAGGTTTCTCTTTTCATACTTCTCTGAATCCTATGACCATTTTTGTATTATTCTATTTTTAAAGAAAAACTTGATAACCTTAATTCCCACTTGACAGAACCTAGATGAGCACCAACATCAAAGCCTCTTTAGGAAAAAACGCCTGGACAAAACCGTACAGTCAAATAATTCCTAAGCACTAGGTTCAATTCTCCATTGTTGTACAATGCAGCTCTCCATCAGAATGTAGGTATGCAAAGTGCAGCGTAAATGTCATCATGGAAACATAAATGGATTTACTATGGAATTTGCTTTCCATTTCCATAAGCAACAATTCTAATTCTCCGTGAATGTTAGATGGCAAAGAAAAAATGGTTTGTCAAATACTTTCATAGTACTAAGAACAACAACAACAGCAGCTAAGTAAAAATGTCATAATAATTTGGCGAGCTCTGATCTTGCAATTTAACTGGTTGACTCCAACACATAAATGGCCAGAGAACATAGTGGGGCCGGGGAGGGGAGGGGAATGTATAGATATGCCCAAGAATGCCCGTTGAATGTCATCAAGCATCTCTGACCCACAGAGCAATATTTTGGAACTATGCAGACAAATGTATCTATAATTAAGATCTTGCCAACTTTTAAAAAGTCACTTTGTTATTTTTAAGGGCTTTTTTTATTAATGAACTATAAAAAACAAGCAGTAGGAGCTTAGGTTAAGTACAGAACAGTTGACAGTTTGGCCTAAAAAACTGGTTTAAATTGAGGATAAATTTAAAGTAAAGGACAAACTTTAATTGTGAATATTAATTCAGTTACCTCTAGAAATCCTAACCATATGTTCTTAAGAATAAAAAATAATGTAGCAAGTTACATTTACACAAAAAGGCCACATTAGCCAGAATTCACAAATGCTGGAAGTAATCTGTAGAAGGGAGAGGTAATTAATTACTATGCCTCGTTTCAAAAAAAAAAAAAACAAACAACTTCATGACAGTCTAAAAACTTCACACATTTTCAAATTAACAGTTATTAATGGTGAACGGAAACATGCGTTACCTAAAGTGGATATTTAAGGAGGCTGGCACTTCATGCTGTGAGACTAAATGCTAACACAGCTGGGATACATGGATTGTGCACAAGTCGCTAAACTAGTTCTTTCATCCGTTTTGCCCATCTGATGTCATAGCTGCCACCTTTCTCAGACTCAGTCTGGTTACACAGTCTACAGGTCAGCTTATGCAGCTTTTTCACAACTTAGTAACTAAAAGCAACCCTTGACCTCTTCTTCTGAGTTGCAAATATCTTTAGACAGAAATCTGGGAGGAAAGAAGTCATGTTTCCACTCTTCACAGTACAAAAATCAAGTTGTTACACATGTCTGGCACAGGAAAACAGCATTCAAACTCCTCCTTTCTTCTGAGGCACATCAATCCTTTTTATGGCTTTGAAATGCAATAGGATAAAGTTAATATGAGTCATTGCAACTCAGTTCTTATTGTTTATGGTGTTATTTGCCATTAATGTCAATGTTTCTGTTGCTAACAATTTATCGATGGGATTTACTCAAACCTAAGACAACGGGGGCTGGGCTTTCTTTTTTTCCCCCCAGTATCTGTAACAGAAACCAGTACATACGCCTCTCATTTTGCATGAAGAAATAGACACTACAAAATCAGCATCCCCTCCCTATATCAAAACTCTTTACTTTCTGAAAGCAGACTTCTGAGGCACTTGTTTGAGTTCAGAAAAGACACAAGACTTTCCTTGTTCAACACCGCATTCTTCTCTGTTAGAATAAGCTTACTCTGAAAACTTCTTTCCAGGAATGTAAAGTGATATTGGTTTTCAGCAGCTGAGTCACAACCTCACTGCTAAACAGCTCTTCAGCTCATTGCTAACTGGAAAGATACTCTGGGTGCTCCTGGAAGGTAAAATATCCCAAACCTCTGTTGCAGCACTCACCTTCAAACTTACTCTTTCGCCAGGCCTTTCCAGGCCAAGACAATACACCTTTCTTGCCAGCTGCCCTGGTTGGTTTTTCATTTTCAGATTTTAAAGCTCTTATATTAAAATTGTAATTCTCTAATCTTCATAGGGGTCATCCTCTCCATTTTTGTCATTTCCCTATAGCTGTAGTGAAGAAATACTCCAGCTGAATCTCCCTCCTATACAAGAGGATTTGGCAACAGTGTGCTAAATAGGACTGGCCTGAAGTTCAGGGAGGGGAGCATCTCTGACATTATTTTCATCCTATGAAGACTAACATTCTTTTTCTCAATATTACAGCAACCTAAGCAACCTGGCATGGAGTTCACTTTACGTATAACATTGAATGAAATCAAAGGGTTACTATCAATTCATACTCAATATTATGAAGTGGCTTAAATTAGTAAAGAATTCTGTTTTCAACACATGGCAATTCTTTGACAGAACACAAACTCAGTGGCTCTCCTGATGGTTCTGGGCTGTAGTTGAGAAGACATGGAATTAAAATTAACTGAACAATAACCCCTTTATACAGACACAGATTTTTCCAGTGCTGTCACCAGAAAGAAACAAAGACATTGTCTCAAAAATGACATAACACTAGGTAATACCTTGGTTTAGGTGTGTGGCCTCTGTAATTTGAATACCATTCACAGAACACTGTGCTCCATTCAGTGGTATTAGATTCACAGTACCATTAAGATTTTCAAAGATGCAATGCTCACTTTCCAAATCCAGGCCATGAAGAACTAAATACAAAGAAATAAAATAAAATAATGCAATTAATCTCCTAACAACTAATAAGATTAGCATGCTGATTTTAATTTCTTAAGGACATATTGCACTAAATATTTTCTCTTTATTCTGGACAATTTTTTTTCCTTCTTTGATCACATCCTGCATGCCTTAAATGTCGACATTGTTATTTTTTTTTTTTTTGTAGTGGAAAGAGAAGTGTGTCGGGTTGCTTTGGTTTTTGGTGTAATGTTGTTTCCCTCCCATGTTTTAGCACAAGACTAGTAAATGCTTCTTTCCTTCTGACAGCAAACAGGAAAGTAAAATTTGCATATTTGTAGAGACTGTGTTTTTGACTGGTTTCTGGGAAATAATGAAGGCTTCCCTACCTTAAAGCAACCATGCTTTAATCTGAAAAGACAGGATATTATCTGTGATTGTAGATTAACAAGGATGGCTGAAATAAGGTTCTTGTGTTCTACTGTATTCAGGCTTTTTATCAATCAGTTATGCTGTTTTCTATCTCTTCTTCAACTAATGTATGATTATCTCTACCGGTATTGTTTAATATCGCAAAGCAACACAAGTTCACTAGTTTCACAAAGTTCATACAGAAATTTTAATCCAGGCATCTTTTGACCCACAAAAAATATGCCAAACCAAATTATTTGATTTTCAGTCTCTCACCTGAGAATTAGAGGATGCAGTTTATTTAACGAAACTGCACCTTCAAGCAACATATGTGACAGGGTGGTCCAAGACTAGCAGTCAGTTGCTTTGATAAGAAGTAAGAAAATCAGTAGAAGAAGCCTATCTACTTTCTACCAACTTCCAGAATTTTCTTCAACTCAAATTTAAAGTCCAAAGACTGCTTTAGGTATAACAATATAACAATACTGTCATTACAGCAAGGTTAAGAGAATGACTGCTTAGTAATTGTGACAGGTGCTGCATGAAAAAGGATGGTATTTTTACACAGCACTATTTCAAGAGAAGCAAGAAATAAATTAGTAACAAGTACATGAATAAATTTTAAGCCCACAAGATATTCTAGAATGAGTCATGCTCCTCAAAGCAAATCCCACGTAATTCAGCTCTCAAATTTTCTAAAAATTAAAATATGCAAGAACATACCGACAAGTACCTGAAAAAGGGAATTAAGCTTTGTTCACATATTGAGATATCAGAAGCAGGAAAAACAACTGAAGAAAGAACGTAAAAAAATTGCCAAATTCCATACCAATATCCTGTTCTGTCACAGCATCTTCTCTGCCAACATATGTTTGGCCCTCCTAATTAAGAGAGAAACATGCATTATTTTCATTTGAAATCTCCCTTCCTCCCCCATGAAGATACAATTTATCCTTCTACTTTCACAGAGTAACCTGAACAAAATATATGTTTAAACATACATGAAAAATTGAGGTAGCATTTTTAGAATGCTTTCACAGTAATTGTTGTATAATATTATTAGCAAATTCAAGTTTCGACTGTCCTGTGTAGAATCATCTTTGTAGTTCTGAGGCAATTAATCCAGAATTGTTTTTTTAAGTCAAACTTTACAGTGAGATGAATGATAAACCAATATACATGGGTAGGAATATTAAACACCTATCTCTGGTTAAACCAGCTGACCCTCAGAATAAACCTAAACAGTAAATTAACAGATATTTGAATTGAACCAGTTGCAAACTCTTAAGAGCTTTTCTTACTATAGCAGAGAAACTTACTGAGCTTTTCTTACTATAGTGGAGAAACGTAATGAGTGCTATATTTAGACAGCAAATTAATACCACAATCTATCTACTGAAAAAAATCATGAGGCATATAAAAGCTATAGAAACACAGATGTGTATTTACCTTCAAGTGGTACAAGATGATGCCAGTGCTGAGAAGATCATCATCAATGCCAATCAGATGAGGCAGTTCAGAATCTAACACAACACCTATCCCTTCTTTCCTCAGAGCCAAGGTTTGTTCCTGTAAAGGACAAAAGTCTGTTTATTAGGATATGCAAGAAATACCACTCTTCCTTCTCTAAAACACATGTAATATAACTTACTCTCTGTAATATGACCAAAACAGCGCGGGTTGGGTTTTTTTGTTTTGTTGGGGGATTTTTAGGGTTTTTTGGGGGAGAGACGTTGGTTGATTTGTGGCTTTTTGGGGGCTTTGTTGAGGTTTTTTTGGTTGGTTGGTTTGGTTTTGTTTTTTTTGTTGTTGTCAATGTTGTTTTCTTTTACACATTTTAAATGTGACTTCTATATTTTCATTAAGCGTTCCAAGCATGCCATTCGGAAAATGTGTGAAGGTGTTACTTGAAAGAAACCAGACAAACAGGTGAATCATACCAGATAAGGAAGATTGATCAAGATCATAACAAAACAAAGTTGTCTAAAAGCAAGCTTCATACCGCCTTGCATAATGGCAAGAATTTAAAACTCCTCAGAATTCAGTACGGCTAAGGAATAGAAAACCGAAAACTCTTTGGCTTTCTTCCAAATAAAGTGAAAATTTGATAAGCCTAAGCAGTTAAAACATCATCCAATGTAAGGTAAGCATTGACAATAATAAATAAATGTAAGAAATATTTGCAGCACATAATTTCTATTCTTCAAAATTTCTTTGGGCAACATTGTCTAGCCACCTATAGGATGAAGCATCATTCAGCAGAAAGGACTACAAGTGGGGACTTCAACTTTGGATAAAATATCATGTGATCTAGTATGGATCAGGCAGTCTATGCAATAAATAAGAAATTAATTATGGCTTTGAAGTAAGTTTTAGTATTTATAAAGTTTATTTTTCAAGTTGCAACAAAATCCTATTAGCTTCTAGGCCTGGAATATAACAGCAACAGAGACTGTCAATGTGTATACTCATTACTTTACAAAATGAACATGTTTTTCTACCTAAAACAGCTAAGCCCTCACAAGCCAAGGAGGACTGACAGCCCAGGAAGGAGAGGCAATATCAACAAGCATCACTTCTGTGTATTGTAAGGCATACACTTATCTCCTGGTGCTAGTACATATGGAAAACAAATTTTCTGACAGCAGCGTGACTACTCCTTTTCCAAGTCATCAGCATGCCTCCTCCAGAGCCAGCCAACACACTACACTGTTTGTACGAAGAAAACAGATAGATTCCTACATGTATTTTGCCACATACAGCAACTTGACAAATCTGAAAGAAGAACATAGATGCAATATCTCGTTTCCCTGCACAGTACAAAACGTCATCAATATTGATATTGTTTAAAAAATTCTAAAGTATGGATACAACTGGGAAAGATGAGATGACACAATGTACAAAAGACACTCCAAAACAAAACCAGGAAATCCCACTCCTCTCATGCATGAATTAAGAAGTTCTCCAGCATTCAGAAAAAAAGAAAAGAGCTGTGATTCATGTTGCCCTGTAGCTCTCTGACATTCACACTGCACCCAGCTATTGCTTGATATTATAAAAGTCACCTCATCAAACCAAAAAATACAGCTTAAATCATTCTTTGAGTGAAAAAGTAATTTCATTCAAAAATACCTACCACATGTTAAATATTTATTGACTAGCATCTGATGCTATACATAATTTATAATGTTCCCATATGATGAGGTTGAAGACTTAAATCACTGAGGACTGGTGGCCAACTACATAACTGCTGGCACCTTCGGCCCAATGGAACTGATAAAATATTAAGAGCTGACCATTTTTTCGCCAGCATAACAAAGCATTTGCCAACATCCCTGATTGAGGAAAAAACAGATATCCTAGAAGGCAAAGAAATTACCACTGGGTGAGAAAACTCTCTCAAAAATAATTAAGAATAAAGAAAAAAAAATTATTCATTTTCCAGTCTTTTAATATTTAACACATTTTTACTCTATTCAGAAAGAAAGCATGTATAATTGTGATTTAAAGTAGATGTGTTGCTTATTTATTCAGATCTAAAATTAAAGAACACAAATTAATTGAGTTGCTACACCCTTATTTTGTAAATGGTTACCATTCTCACACAGAATGCATCCTGTTGATGGAAGCATTATAATAAATGCAGCAGACAGAAGCTGAGATTAACTACAAATATTTCTTTTCTTTAATACTTGTTGTAAATTAGCTTTCATTTTCAGACACAATTTACTAAAAATCCTGAATCTTAATCAGGTATCTGGAGTAACTGCAAAACTTCAGTCATTTGGCTTAAAATTGAATTCCAGATTCAAACACTTCTGCAAGGAATCCTCCAAAAGTCAAACTGCCCTAAATGGAAATCACAGAAACCCCATCGACACTAGATCTTTATTACTCTGTTCTCCCACAGTTTGAAAAAGAGAAGAAAAAGGCCAGAAAGAAGTAGCCAAATCGCTCCTCTTTCATCCTCGACAGCATAGGAAGGCCGTTTCTAAAGGAGTACAGACCTCTTTTGAAATAAATTTAAGGTCTGCAAGCTATTATAAGGCAGGGAAGTGATTAGGTTTAATCCATTAGTTGATTCACTTTCATTTCTGCAACACAGTTTTAAAAAGCAGTGAATACAGAAGTCAAATGACAAAAGCAGGAAAGGTCACTGTGCCCATCAAAAAAATACTAACTCAAAAATTTTATGAAAACCTCAAGGTACAGTTTAAGAAAGCTGAATGTACCACAGGCGTCTTAGCTTGAATTATTCTTGAACAGAAAATTGTACGCATATTTAAGATGTGTTCATAAACTGTGGAAAATAAAGTAAGCCAAGTATTATCCACAAAGGAGCACTTCAGTTAACATAAATGGCTACTGTGTGTGGAAAAAAATAAAAAAAGGGTTACCTCTCTAGGAGCTGCCAGATCAAATGGACTCATCTGAAGAGTAGAAACTCTGAACTGAGTCAGTACATAAGAAAACACTTATTTGAGTCAAAATTAAAGTAAGGGTATCATATGATATATTTAAATGATGGTCTCTTTGAATTCAGCTCTGACTCAGCAGTCAGAAATACCATTATATAGTAAATTCATTAACTCTTCTGTGAGAGAGACAAGAGCTATTGTGAAATCTCATCCCTTCTGCACTTATGTACCACTTTTGCTATATTAACTGATACAGAGCCATTTCCAAGTTTGCAGTTAAGATATGTTCTGGTAGTTTAGGAACAAAATCTTTGCGTACTTACTTGAGCCATAGACATAACCCTCATCATATACAACTGCCCTTGACAAAGAACACCTCTAAGACACATAGGATTTCTTTAAATGTTATTTCTTTAAATGCATACACAAAAAAAGGAATCGCACAAGTTCGCTTTCTTAACCAACAGCATATTGCATTAAATTAAAAAAGAAAATAAGCCCAAAAGACATTTCTAACATTCCTTGATCAACCTACCAGTAAAGTGAAGCATATGCTGCTACTGGCTTAGCACATATTAAAAGAGCACACATAATTAGAACATTGCTCTTTCAATGAACAAAACCTCTTGGGGGAGTTTAATTTCTGTTACCCTTTCCAGTGCAAAAACTCATTTCTTTTATTTAAATATTGAACAGCTAGCTGTTGGCACACAGTCCTGAGAATACACTGTGCAGACTCTTTCAGTAAAACACAACATTATGCTGGCTAAGTAAATTGTCCAGATGTCTATACTTAAATTATGCAAAAATGTGTAACACCAAATTAAAGAAATTATGGGTAAAAATGTGCAACAGCAAAAATCTTTGCATTAATATTTAACCAGACTACACTAGACCAGATTCTTACGCTAACAGGTACTTCGGGTGCATTTGACTTCATTGAAAATATGCTATTTTATTCTGAGTTCACAAAAATGTCTGAAGATACTCAGTGGCCCAACACTAACATTAAGCTGTCTAGAAAATAAACAGATGTAAACTGTACACAAGGGAAGTCCTTAACTCTTAATTGATTCTCCTCCAGTTGCGCATTCAGTACGCTTTGCACTCCCTTTAAATCACTGGAAACAAATGTTTCGTACCTACCAAAAAAAACAAAACAAAACACCAAACACAACAAACTCCGTATCGCTCAGAATTCAAAGGCATCTGAAAACAGAGAGAGTAAGAAATATAGATGAAGTAGCCTCAGCTGGTCATGCCATAATCCAGGTGGGTGAAGAACCCAGGACTTCATACATTGAAGTCAGAAATTTATACATTATCAATCCCAGAATGGCAAAAGACTAGGTGAGGTGACTTAAAATTATAGTTCCATCGCAGAGGTTTTGGACAAATCCAGGAAGCTGAGGGCTGTACTACTGAATTAAAATTAAAAAGAGATACGGCTATACCAGGTCAACCCAGTTCATGTATGTGTGCTTTAAGAGGGCTACACTGTTTGTGTTTTCAGTTAACCCTTTCAAAGAAAGAGAAAATGAGACATAACTGTAGGGCAGGACCGTGACGAATGTGGGGGGAATTCCCAAACACACAGTACTCGTTATTTCTTATATGAGGGAGTAGAAAAGAAATTTTTCCAGCTGGAGTTTAAAACTAAAAGGCAACTCCTTTTTGAATTGAAGGGCACTGCGGACATCAATAATTTACATAGATCTAAGAAATGAACTGGAGACACAGTAAGAAAATGAAAGTACCTGTGGACAAATGCACAGGGTACCCATCTGTGGTTCCACAACACCAAGAACTGCAGACACAGAAAGCAAGGGAAGTTTTTTGGGGAACAATTGCTATCTGCTTGCCCTGTTTTATATTCCAAAAAACAAGTACTGTTGAACAAACCCTACATCACCTACAGAGGTATTTAATCTGAGTCAGTATAATCTTTAACAAACAGTACAAAGGACGAGAATATTTGAAGTATTAAATAAAACTAGAATTCCTAGTGTCTCAATATAAATTACCAGTTAAACATACCTTGGAGAGGTGTGTTGTCAATAAAAAATCTCAGCCTCTTCTGACTCCTGCTAATTTTTGACTTGAAAGGAATTCTTACAGCAATGAATTCTTGGGTTACTATGCATACAAATC